AACATGAATAGGAAGAAAGTGGATTATGCACAAAATCCCCAAATCCTAAACTGAGAAGTCTAGAACCAATAAGTGCAATTATAAGCTGGGTAGTAGAATCAGGGAAATAGTTATTCCAGAATATGCAAGAAATGTAGTAAGAAACAGGATAGGAAAGAACATGTAATGAATATCTGCATGGACTTCTGCTTATTAAAAGGGAAAGAAGGAGAGAGAAGTCATTATTGTTATTTACATTTAGTGCCATTGTCCAAGACAGATGACCTGGCTGGATAGAGTAGGCATGCCTCTGAACCTGAGTGGCAGTTCTGACATCCTTTTGGCCTTAGTTCTAGAACTGAAAGATTTTTGAAATGAATTCACACCCAGTGTGACAGAGTGAGTCATAACATCATGATAAATGCAACCCCTTTCCCTGAACAGTAAATATTCAGAGAAAAAAAAAAGCTGTCAATCAAAGCTGTTTTTACTTGCTACTAGAGTCACTGATGATTACCTTTAACTAAAACCATGATATGGTTTGAAATTGTTTGAAGAATCATTGCCCCAAAAGGCTCTTCGCTGCTGGGGTGAACCTTGCTGTGCCAGTTCTCTGCAACATGATAAGCCAAACCTGACAAGGCAGCTTAGGCTGTCCCCAAGGCAGCTGAGACTGTCCCTTAGCCCTCTGGCAACAGTTTTGCCGGAGCTCAGCTCACTGGGAAAGCCCAGAGGTGGAAGAGATTCACTGTGGTTGTTGGCAATAGTGATGTGGCCATTTCCTGTTCTGCGCGTCTTAACTAGAAGTTGAAAGCATGACTCATGGAAGCCGCCTCCCCCACTGCTCACATCATAGCCTCTGCGGAAGACAGAAGCCGGAGGCTGACCAAGGGCTTTTTCCTGAATTGCACCCACAAAGGTGCAAAGTGAAGAGTGAACAGTGTATCTGGTCACCTAATAAGTTGTTTAAAGAAACAGAGGCTTTGCAGGCTTCTGAGTAAATAGGCTCCCTAATTTAAAAAATATAAAAAATATTTTTAAAACAAAGGCTAAAAGGAGAATTGGAGAGGCAAGAGGAGAGTGGGCCAGGCACGGTGCTAGGAGCTGTAAGAACCTGATTTCAGCTCCATTCCTCAGTACCTTGAGAGGAGATTGTTAGCCCTGATTTCATTAGCAGTGTTGGAAAGACTCGGAGATGCTGAGTTCCCCAATGGCCGTCCTACTCATAAATAGTGGAGCTGACACTTGAATCAGCAGTTTATTAATCTGACATTGTCCTTGGCTACCTAACTTATCTGATTATTTACCTAATTTACCTAGCAAGCAGTTAATTTCTCATATCCTAAAATTCCTCTTTTGCAAAATGGGGACAAATAACAAATAATTAGCAATTTCATGGGTAGATGAGTTGGAGTTGAGTAAATGAGGAACTTGTAGAGTCACCTGGCATGATGCCCAACACACAGCAGACTCTTAGGGAGTTTTAGTTTCTCACTCAATCCTGTGTTTATAGATAGAGTGTCCTGTGTAAAAGATGAAAAGAAGCTGAAGGAAAGTTAGATTTGGGCCTTAAATGGAATTCTAATATGCAGGCCTTTTTGCCAAATGAGAACAGATTAGGGGCCATATTTAGTTCCTTGTCTTGTCACTACCTTTAGTCCCAAAAGTTTCATTTAAGCTTTCTGATTCTCAACAAGAGACCTGTGTGAACTATAAACACATTTTGGTGCTCTCCTTCTGATACTTGACAGGAAATTGAGGGACCCCACCAAATTCTTGAGGCACCCCCAACTAAGCTCTCCAGAGAGCTTCCAGAAGGAAGAATCTAAAGGTTTCCTGCACCCACCCCCACCCTCACCCCCAATGCTGAGAGCCTTAAAACAGATCCCCAGACTCTACCACAAAGATTCTGGTTAGGGAGGTCTTGGGTAGGATCCAGGAATCTGAATTTTCTATCTGCACATTTTATGACAAGAGTGACCAGGATACAATGACCACACTTTTGAAACACTGTGCTAGATCCACATTCATAGGCCATGGGGACTTGGACAAAGGAGGACTCAAAAAATTGGATCTAGATATCTCTAGCTAATATCGAATTCAAAGTTTAGAAAAGAAAAGTGTCAATTATACTTTGCTCACCAAAGAAACTGAATCAGAAAAAATAATGACATTAATACCAATATAAAAAGCGACTTGACTAGAACATTTGATGGATCCAGTTTTGGCAGTTTATTCAGCTCAATTTAATATTGTTTGAAGCAGTTTGATGCATTATATGAAAATCATTCTGTCATTGGGCTTAACCTTGAAAACATGGAAATTTCATGGGAGAAACACATATTCAGTACTTTGTAATATAAAATAGAATGACTTACTCACAGTCAACAAAATACAATGTGTTTGAGGGTAGAAAAAGAGCAGTTCATAATAAGGATATTGGGAATGGTTTTCCAAAGAGTGGCACCATCTTTAAAGAATAAATACCACTTTCAAAGGTAAGTTAGACAGAGAAGGGCATTCCATGATGGGAAGGATATAAAGTCTCCAAAGTCTGAGGGGTATGGTCTATTCTGGGAATGGTTCAAGAATGCAGAGAAGGTCAACCAGAGAAAAGATTTTGAAGACTTTGGTAGAGGATTGTTGATGGAAGGAGGAAGGTGCTAACAGGCAGACAGGCTGACACCTGGCAGCAGTTGTCACAGCTCAGGTGAAACTTCATTGGTGGCAGCAGCAAAAAAGGAAATGGACAGAAATCAAACCCATTGACCCAGTGTTCTACCCATGCCTGGAACA